ACTTCTTTACTTCTGTTGTCTCCAGGAAAATAACTCACAATTTCAAGGAGTCCTGCAAACAGTTTCCTTCTGCTTTACTTTCCCAAATGACATCCTGGACTCCTCTGACCTTTCTAAAGTCTGTGTCTCCTGTTCTGATTAAAAATAAATCTAACAAGCCTATTTATTTTTTTAAATGTCACAGTGCCCCTTAATTCAGGCATCCCAACATTTCCTACTATTGTTATCAAGTATATTTAGCCCTACCTTTCAGTCCAATCAAGTGAAGACTAAACACTTTAAAAAAACTTTTAAAATTCTCTTTACTGACTTCTGAAAGTGCAGACAGCCAAGACTTTATGTCTAAAACCAGAGATCACTGTTAAAGAAATCTTATATAAAGATAATTTGGTGAAAAAGCGATATAGGACATTTTACGCATTTAAAGATTCCCCCCCTGATCAACATAAATCTTTTATATACAACTAATTAAATCTTAAGTTATTTGTCAATAAAATGAATTTGGAGATATGTAGATAACCTGTCAAAAGAGCGAGTTTATTACAATATTGGATGGTAGAATATGTTTGTGCTGTGGATTAAACGGATTTGTCCAACTTTTTGCAGATAACCAGCTCAGTTTGGTGGAATTTCCACCAAATGAGTCACCGGTCAGAGTAATGATTAGTTTCAGCCCTGCTGTGAATCCCACGTTGTCAGAACTTTGTAATGTCTACTTTTTGATCTCCTATCCTCTTCCCGTCCTCGATGTCTGACCTCCATTCCACACTCTCTTGGGGGTCCGTTCCTGCCCTTCAATAGCTTTGTGAGCGTGTGTGTTCCCAGATGAGGCCGGATAAGCTTTCAGGCCCAGCTGAGCCTGATGTTCTGAGCCTTTGCACATTGTTCCCATCTTGAGCAAACAGCCCCTTTATTTTTGTTTGGCCTCTAAAGTTAATTGAGAAAAAAAAATGCAAAAAGTGTCCGGTGCTGTCCTAAATCAGGACATCAAAGAGCTTGATAAATATACAGCACTGAGCTAGACTGTTTTTTCTAAAAAGGCAACTACTCAAGAAAGGCTTTGCTTATTGAACATCTCCAAAAACGGCTGAAGGTTTTAAAAGTAAAAGCAGAAGTTTAGCCTTTATGGTTTCTCCCTGTCAGCGTGTCTTATGGCAGCCTCTGGCTCTGCAGACATTAGTTATGGATACACTGACAGCTGTTTATATATCTTGTCTGAAGTCGTTGTGGACAGATTCTTAAGAGCGCCGGGCTCACTTCACACCTCTATATGATTTCTTTTATCCTATTCCTAATTCCCCATGTGGAAAACCCTTACAGAGGTGATGAATTTAGATTTAGGGGACAATTTGGGGGCCCATACAGCCATGCAGCAGAAACTATCACTTAAGCAGCTTTGGTAACTACAATGTGTCAAGGACAACACAGAGAATTACAATCATTTTGTATATTTTTCAACTGAGAACATACAAACACGACAAAAAACCTAAACTTAATGCTAAATATTTATGCTGATATGCCTCTATTTTCATCTAAGCTATGTTCAATGTTTGTATTCTTCTTAAAATTGTTAGGTAAAGAGTTTCTTTCTTTCTTTTTTTAAGATTACATAATTACACAGCATAACACCGTGCAGAACTAGTTTATAACACTAAATCTGCCCACAGACAGATGTACAAACCACCTGCCGAAATGGCACAAAACCACCACTCAAGTAGTCAAAACAAAAAAACACAGGATGTCACTGCTGGTAACAAGGTGCTCCAGATATGTTGCCACAGCTTTTAACCACAAGGCTCATTTGAGAAATAAAATTGCAAACGTTGACGGGAAGATACGCAGACATCAGAAAACAAGCACTTCAGCGCAGCCACATGTATCCATCAGTGTTGAATAATCCCTCGAAAAGTATGTAAAGCACACATTATGAAGAAGTAATCTGGGGTTTCATAAGTGCATGTCCAATGCTGACGTACACAGGATCCCTTGTGAGTTCTAATTTCCTGTCAGATTCCCCTTCAGTTTCTCCCACAGGGCAGAGTCAATCAGAGCCTGCTTTAAGGTCTTCGCTGATCGATCTGTGCTTCCTGGAATCTGACAATCGAGGTGACAGAGCCTCTCTGGGCTCGCATCTCCTCCTATTCTGCGAGTTTACCTTAGGTCGGGCATTATGTGGCTCTGCGTTCCTGGAGTTTGGATGCAGCTGGTGAATAAATACACAGCTTCTCACATGGCCCCTCCACAGTGATGACACGCCTACTGTGTGTTTACATGGAAGCTATGTTTTCCCTGTGTTTCCCTCAAGTCACAGCATGTACCCAGACACCATCCATATGTCGAACCCATGATGAGAGCAACTAACCCAGCAGTCCACAAAGGCTGGTGCATGATTTAAAATGAGAATGCCGTGTGACAGACGCACACCAGCAACCCTTTTCCCACTATTCTGATAAAGGAGGCCTCCGTTTGAGGGCCACATTACCTAATATGAAAGAATAATTAAGGTGAGATAAAGGGTCGTTCTATTTGTTTTAGCACATTATACATCTCCCTGTGACGATTACAAGCACTCATCTCTGTGATTCATGTATTGATTGCAGTAAAGAGGCGAAGAATGACATCAATGACGTCCAGCTACAATTACCTAGATTTACTTTGCCCTTGGCTGCTATAAAACATCAAATTATCTCCTAGGATGCTTACAATGGCACCCAGGTGCTGTTCCGCTTTAATTATGCTGCTGTTTGACCACACGATCTGCCAACAAAAGGACTGTAATAACAACTGGCATAAGGCTGAGCCTCCCATCAGCTTTGTCCCTGTCGCACACAACAGCCTCTCTGGCACTGAGCTGGCCGATGAGCATGATATAAGAGCTTGTTTCCTGACTCCAGCGCTTTGAGACAAAGAGAGGATGGAAAGAGAACAGCGATGGTCAAAGCTGTCTCCTCAAAGTGACTATTAATTATGCGGCCCAAAGAGGCCAAGCGCAAATTATAACACACTGACTCTCAACTAAAAAGCTAATTAGTATTGAGTTATGACCTCTCTGACATTAGCAGGAGAGAATAGAGGAACTGCAACGTGGAAGTGGATATCCGGATATATCCCAACCTCGCTCACATTTATTTGAGCATGACAAAGAAACCTTCTGGTGGGTGTATTTTTCTGGCTGGTTGCTTTCCTGGAGCTACAGACCACCTGGCATGTCAGTAAGTCTCTCTGGACATTAGGCCTGTAATTAGTGGCTGCCATGTGGGTAGAGGCCTTGTAACACTTCAGCATCCTAACCTTTTCACCTGAGGTTTGAAGCCGTACATCCCTTCTGACCTTTTCTCCCCATCTGATTTGAGATTCAAGCAGGAACTTTTACCCACAACTTTTGGCTCTCAGCTGGGGTCTCCTTACTGGAACTGCGCACACACTCAAACCTCACAAAGAAAGCACATATTCATGCATTCTTCACAACACAACTCCCCCTGGAAGGTAATGGAATGCCGCAGATGGGGAAAAAAAGGTCAAAAGGCAAACAAGAGCAGTTCTTGGAAAAATCTGCTGACTGTTTTACAGAAAGTTCAGCACCTAATCCTAAAAATATTTAGGAAATCCTTCCTCTTAGTCTGAAATAATTTACTCTATGTAACATCGCAGAAGTCTTTTGCTTTTAAATTTATGTAAGAACACACACAGCGGTAAACCTCAAATTCAGAGGCGCTAGATCAATGTAACGTTTCAAATTTTAGTCATAGGGAACTTCAGAGTGCCAGCACAGTGATGTCGTGGCTAGCACCGTTGCCTCACAGCAAGAGGGTTCCTGGTTCAAACCCCAGGGGAACCGGGACCTTTCTGTTTGCACGTTCTCCCTGATTCTTTTTTATATATTATGTAATTGGATACAAAAAAAAACATTTGAATCTAAATTACACCTAAAAAGGTGTTAAACTAGTTCTCAAGACCAGTCAAATAGAAGATTAATGAATATTTATGAATGAACATCCAGTTGTTGCTTCAAAGAGCTTATAAAACGGTGACCTTCCATCATAAACCTCTGTCTTTCTAAAAACTCCTGCAGCCAAAAGGTCCGTGTCAAAACAATCCTCTTATCAAACGGGTCATCAGTTTATGTGGTCTGATCCAGAATTTCCACCACAGAGGATCTGCTGTTTCTGTTTTTACCAACACATGCCCCATCCCATCATCAAGCATTCAACCTCATATGATGACAGGGTGACTCAAAGTTCACTGAGTGGCACTGCTTGAGGAATAGGAACTATTGATCGAACCACATTCAATAATTCAATTTGTCACTGCGAAAGTCTAGAGTCTATTCTTAGCAGTTACAGTTAGCTGTGCCTTTTTATACATGTAACATGATAAAACAGAGGGTCTAAAAGGGTTTTTGTCATCTTTTTTCCCTTATAATTCATCCTCTATCAGAACGTCCAGTGTACTGAAATAAGTCCTCTTCTTTTAAGAGTTGTGACCTCTCTTCAGGCTTGTAAAACTTTAAGCATTGGGTAGCTGACATACTGGCACACAAACCAGATGATTACACAGGAAAATTTCTAATCCCACAGGGTTTCATACACTCCTTAAAATGGATAATAGGGGAGCAACTAAGCAAAGCAATTGTCAACAAATGGCCTCGTTATCCAGTGAAACACAGCTGGGAACAAAACACTAAAACAAAACATATGCTAAGGGACGTGCACATAAACCTCAGGGATTGCATTATACACATGTGAGTGCTTTGCTCCATTGTTTCCATTTATGCTGGTCCACAGTGAGATAACGCTCTGGTGAATGGTGCGTCCGCAGACCTAAAAATGTGGCATTGCACCCTTACACCTTGGCAATTGGTAAAAAGTGACCACAGATCCCAGACGCCCAGTGACCATTATTGAACCTGTAGTATATCAGCGGCTGCTGCTATCCCACCTTTTAAATGAAAAACCTGAACGGAGAAAGGGTGTGAAAGTGTACGGAGCACGTCTCGCGTTTCAGAGAAGTCTCTGGCCTGTGATCCCTACCGGATAGCCTTCTGTTTTCTTCTGGCACCACTTCAGTAGAGCATTTCTCTTAGATCCTCCATACTCCCGCGCCAGTGCGGCCAAGGGGTCCTTTCTTTCCACACTGTCACCAGGGAAACAAGAGCCACAATCAGGGAAAGAGGGAGAGGGACAGTTTCAGTGTTTCAGAGAACAACATGTGCTGCAAAACAGCCACCGCACCCACACACAATCCTGGGTGCACATTTACACAGAGAAAGTTACACAAATGCCATCATTGGGACTATTCAATCAGGGCACCTTTTCCCTGACAAAGCGGCCTCCTCATATGTGTATTTTCGATGTTCAACACATGCACTATGTACGTGTTTGCTGCTGTTACACCTGAATTTCCTCTTTGTGGGACAAAGGGGAAATTTAAAGGCTGGTTCTTCTTTTTTTTTTATTACTTTGCACATATCTCTTTGATTGCAAAGTTATGGATCAGGACACAGTTACAGGAAATTATACTAAACTGGATTTAAACATTAGGGCGAAACAATATTTGCATAGGGTGCACCATCATAGAAAAAAATTAAGCATGCATTATACTATGAAACAATTAAAGTAATCTATTTGTACAATTGCTGAGTCCTCATTAAATTCCTGAATTTGCAATTCTGAAGGGAATTATTCAATCTTATATTCCCATTAAAAGCCTTAACCCCTTTGGACAGTGACTTTTTGGCTCAGTTTATTTATTTTAGACTTCAAAGTTCTCTGGAGAGCAGCCAACCCTATACAGTGTCCAGTCTGACTGCGTGTGGGATGTAAAGCTCTGGCCCAGTCTTTCTTTGGTGTCCCTCACACATCAGCGCTTAAACCAAGAAAGCTGACTGCACTCCTGCAAAAGAAACATGAAAAATGCTACACGCAAAACGGGCAAGTTAAAACCTATGTGTGGTATTATTCGGAAGGGTTTGCTCCCTTGGGTTTTTGCTGAAGCTGAGGCCATGGGAAGACCATGAGACACGGTCGTTGCTCTGAGCACGGTAAACATTTCACACGTCACTGCAGCGCTGCTGTTTAATTCATTATTCCAGCGTCTGAGGCATTGCAATGCCATCACGGCTAGAACCTGTCCAACGTTAATATTCCAGATGTGTTCAACATTGCTGCAAAGGGAACTCCGTTGCAACACTTAAAAATGACCAAACATGGTATCGGAGCACTGCTGATCTCTCTGAGACATATCAGTGGTACCGTTCTTTGTGACCTTCACCATTACTGTAAATAGAGATAGTGCGGAGAGGGCAGCTAGGTACGGTCATTTTACCACGTGGAGAAGACGCAGAGCGGGACAGACAGGTTTTTGACTGCTACTTTTGAGTGTTGAGCGATATCAATCGCTGGTCTCAGCTGAGGGTATTGTTCAAGGTTTTGATTACCTCAACAAAATGAATTGTCTCACTGTGAAAACACAGAAAACTTAACGTCATCAACCTCCAATCCGACTTGTTGCTGCTGTATTGAATGCTTCGGTGCACACAAATACAACGGGCGTGCACTCTGAAAACAGAAGGTACTAACGCCAAAAGTCAGAGGCTGCAACGTAAGCTGAACATCTGTCTCACTTCCCTCTCTGATAAGAAAACTTTCCTTCTGCTTTATAAAAAGCCGCCTGTGTCTGATCAACACTGGCGGTAATAAAGAGTCTGCAGCTCCAAAGGTTCCCCAGTGAATACTTAATTATGTAATAATGAATATCAATGTGATGTGCTGGTAACTTTAAATCTACTAATGCATGCAGAGACACCAAAAGGCACACACTTCTCCTCCAGTCTAGTGTATGTTTAATCCTTTTGAGTTGTTTTCCCAGCCACTGGGTTTCAGGCAGCTCACCTGAGCTTACTGTTGCCTCTATTGTAGCTGAAGGATGCTGTTCGGCTACCGAAGGAAGCGGGGCTTTTGATTACAGACTCGAGAGAAGGGCTCTTCCTCATGAGGCTGTTAGGTTTCAGGTCCTCCCCGAAGCTGGACAACTTATCTGTTAAATCAAAGGATCCAACAAATGGAAGTAAACACAGGAGAGTGTGACAAAAAAAAGACAGAGCATATCCTGGAAATGTGTGCTTCAGGAAAGACTCTTTTGAAAACAATTCCTCAGGGAGTTTCTCAAACGAGTCCCCAGTGAATTGTTCGAGAGTATTTCAAGAGCAGGGCAATGCATTTACAATATTTGTTTTTCGAAGAGAAAATCATAAAACTTTCAAAAACCTAGCAGAAGCCGGATGTTTGCACATCATTGTCCCATTTCATTTGTCTTTCCCTGTGGATACTGCCTCATTGTAGTACCCTGATCATAAAACCATCATTTGTTCATGCACGACAGCTAATAAAATATGGCTACACGTGAAAATTGATCTGGAGCCATGTTAGTGCAGGATAAAGGTCATCTGCGGGGGGAAAAAATGCATTTCTAATAGATGGGTGTGCGCTCAGCAACATGGCTACAGATCAAAATGCTCAATCTTACATACCATGAGGATGAGAGAATTCTCCATGATTAATCCGTTTCTCCAGTGTCTTTGAAAGTGGCTTTATGTGTGACTGTCTCTAAAGAACAAAAAGACAAAAAAGAAGTGGAAAGTGATCAGACTGAATCAACTTTGCTTGTGCAAGGACTATCTGTCATTTAAAGCATGCAGTGAGTTGGATGATGATACCTGCATAGGGGAGACGGCGGCAGCTGGTGCAGTGCGTACAGGGATCCCACTCAGGGGGCTCCTCGGTGAGGAATGCATTTGAACTGTGTGTCCTGGTCCGTCTGCAAGACCCAGAATCATTTTGAGTATCCCCTCAATGCCCGTGCAGCACTACATCCTACACTAGTAAATTACCAGAACATGCATTCTGTGAATCCAGTGTATGGTTTAAAGTATATAGTATAAGTTATGTTATTATCCACAGGGCCAGTGTGCAAACAAAGCACCAAAAGCATTTAAACTAGAAACACTGGTAAGATATAAATCTTCATAAAAACATTATACTGACATAAAGGGCAATGTATCAAGCTTGCCCACTTATGATTGATGACATATTCCTTATTAAATGTTTATTTTTGGCGTTGTAAAAGATTTTACTCTCCGCTTTTTAATATTTTTGTTAGCAATTGTGTCATATTTCATGTTTGTTTGCTCTGCAACAGTTTACAACTAAGCGTCGAGATAAATGAACTCATCATAAAAGTGCAGCAGATAAAGCTCAAAATGCTTCATCGGTCACACTTTTCTCAAAATGAGTTGTTTTCATGAAAATGAACCAGAATTCCTCCAGCCTGCAAGCGGTCAGCTCAGGTCAGATAGCACTGACAGATATTCCCGTGGATGACCACAGCAGCTCTCCGGCCGTGCTGCTCTGTGATTACACTGATGTGATGACATGCCAGGTCACTGTGTGTGTCTGTGTGTCGACGTGCTCGGTGCTCACTTTGTCCAACAGTATCAAAGGACTTAATGAGGGATTTGACAGTAGCTCCGGGTTCTGCGTTGGCATCTCCGCTGATGTCTGCAGGTGTCGTCGGGATCATGGGGATGCCGCACCAGTTATTGTTGTTATCGGAGTCGGACACCCTCGCCTCATCACCTTGGGACCTGGCAGACAGAATGAACAGGGGTGCCGTATAGACACATTACAATACACAATGGTGATTGTGGGTGGAGCATGTGATCCAGAGATTAGACTTTCAAAACACCCCACTTTAATGCTTCTCTGTTAGGAACACCAAAATGCAGAGTTTGACCTGAAGAGCTTTCAAGAAAATTAAAACCAGTTTGATATAGATGCAATCTTCATCAGTGATGGGTGGAGAGTGCATGGTAACAAGTTTCCCAACTCACCTCTATGAAGCAGAAGGATAAGAGATACACAAATGCGGTTTGACTGGTGTCATTTAATTTATTCACTTCCCGAATGGATGAACAACAGTCAAACATAATTCACAGGCACAAAACCAGCCCAGTTTTTCTTGACAGAATAAATTAACAGGATATATTCTGTGTTGTTCAACAAGACAAAATGACTAATCACACCATCTCATCTTTTTTTAAGATGCCTTTGCGTGAATCCAGATGTTAACAATTTGAGCACCAGTACCATGATCTCTGGTTAGATAGTATGGCTTCTAGAGTCTGGAGGGTGACAAAAATAACCCTCATACTACTACAGTACACAATAATCCTTTCAAATTTTTGCTCCAAGGTAAGAACAAGTAACAAAGTGATGTGTTACATCACAGAATTTGGGCCCAACATATAAAAGAGTAGAATAGATGTCAATAATAAATAATCATCAGAGCCTTGAGAGACCTATTGGGTTCAAATAGAAAGTTTGTGTGGTTCATTTGATATTATATTGTTTAAATAACTGAGGCTATATTGGATATGATTTAAGAATGCTTTAACAGTGGTACTTTAAGAAAAACTAATCCGGCGACACAGTTTTCTTGGTCTTTGACTTAAAAATGGACAATTTACCTAATTGACCTTTTTTGGTTTATTTCAGGAGAGTAAAAAGTGACCCTGAGGTATGCTGTTTAGGTACTTAGCAGTTGTAAGCTCTAATATTGGCAGTATAATATCTAAAAGAAATTGGAATTGCGAAAATAAATCATGACACAAATGAACAAAGTAGAGAATCTGAGCAGATACTAACAGTATGTTGATAGGAATTCAGAGAAGTCTGTGATAAAATGTAATACATAGTGCCATCTAGTGGCTGAGAATCTGGGAATCTTGAGAGCAAGTCAATAATACATTTATATGGAAACTAAAGCTTTTTGTTTCATGTAAATGTTCCGATTTAAGGTAAATAAAGAGAGGTCAAAGTGACAGTAAATTCACTCATACAGAAAGATAACATAGGTTAAGGCCAGCACAAAAACAATATTTTGGACAATAAAAAAAAAAAGGAAATTTAATTTTGTTATGTCGCTTCTGCCTGGACCTTCTAACAAAATATCAAGAAATCCTCATCATTTCTATTGACAAAACATTCGCCAGTATTTCGTCTGATATTCTTTGACCAGGTTTTGCTATTTCTATCTTCTCAACTTTCTAAAAAGGCACAAAGCAGCATCACACATTATAAAAAGAACTCTCTTTAACATATGGTGTTTCCACAACATAAACAACAACAGTACGAACATAAAGAGTACATTCATTAAGAAATAAACATACAGTCTTCTTTAAAAAGCAAAGGCCCCAAAATATTAACATACAGATAGACGGAGGCCAAATCACAAGACGCTCTTTGTGTACTGCAGCTGTACTGCACAGCGACTCACAATGAAACTGGTCAGCCACATTGCATTGAATGACATAATAAGTGCAACAATAATACTGTCTTCACATGATGATGAGGGAGGGTACTTCTTCAGTGCCCTTCAACTGCAGTCTTGGTATCAAAAGTGGTTCCTGTGTTCAATCTGAAAAGAAACAGAAGAGAAATGTTTGATTACAGAATACAACTATAGCATCAAATGCATGTAAAACAACAAACCTCATGTTACTTAATGATGTAGTTATTTTGAAAGCCGGCCCTCGCGGCACTTTTATCACACTTGCTCCATGCATACCTCACAGGATTAATTTAGTCAATCGATATGTAATGCCAAGTTGTGCCGGATCACCCAGTGATGAAGATGCTATGAAAATGTATCTGTATCATATGACACAAAGCATGAGTTCAATCCGGTCATGCCCGTGCAGCCCATCCTGCTTTTAATCAAAAAAAGTAGGAGGGTTATTTATCCAAAGAACAGCAGGTGGCACCAGATACATCTACTTGGTCTACAGGTTTTAGGAGCCTGGGAAAGCAAACCAAAAGGGTATGATAGTCCTAAAAGTGCAGTCAGCCAGCGTATGGAAAGAACAGACAGTCAGACAGGCTAAAGCAGCAATATGAAGCCAAACAAAGGTAAGAAGGTCAGTGAGCATCAGCAGCACACAGGGCAGGGAGAGGCAGGCCAGCTGGGGACTCACCTGGACTTTACAAAGGGAGGCTTGTCAGGGGGACATCTTTGACAGAGTCATCACAGGGAGCTGATGGAGGTGGGGAGCAGACGCAGCATAACAGCTAATCTTGGGGACAGTTGGCGATTTAGATATGGTCTAAGGCCAGTACTACAACTAAATATACGAATAGTGCTGGCAATCTGAACATATGGTAAATCTAGTCTTACACTTTTCCTAAACTGCTCACACCGAATGAACTAATCAACAACTACAAGTCTAAATTATTATAATTATTATTCAAGGATTTGCTTGTCTAAAGGATATGTGACGGATAAACAGTGAAATTCAAAAGCGAATCTAAGCAGACTTCACAAAAAGAAGAATTTGAACTGGCATGACAATGAAATCAAATAAAACAATCAAAACTGCTATGGCGTTGCCTGCTTAAATAATAATAAGCCTGTTAAACGACTGCATTTTTAACTCTTGCAAACTAAAACACATACTAATGCAATGCTCTTCATAAATGTGCCTCCCGCAATACTGCAGAATGAAATAAAAACCCGGAATTTGTGTGTGATTAGAGCGAATCTACCACCGCATCTACTTTCTTAAGTGATAAAAAACTAAAAAAACGTTTTGAGTCTGGGATTTTAATGTTGCCATAAACCAAAAGTACAGGTCAAAGAAGGAAACAAAGATGGCAGCAGCTTAAAGGATGTAGAATACAAAGAGGGAAATATAGTGGGAGACTACTGATTGACCAACAGAGTCTGCCAATCCCCAGAAACCTGAACTCCAAAACTACAGGATTTAATCTTGTGAAATACAAAGATCCTAATTATCTTACTTTCTATTAGATGGTCATTTACTTTGGGTTATTTTTAAGCAAGAAGCTTTTTTGAGTTATCATCTTTGGGCCACCAATACTTAGGGGAGAAATGGCGAGACTCTGCCTGGTATCTTATGTTTGTTGAATGTTCAGAGCAAAAGGAACTGCAGCCTGATGCTTTACTGGGTAGCTGGAAGAAGTGGGCAGGTGGGTGTACAAGATCCTGAAAAAGTGGGTCATGGCAGACACAGTACCTGACTCCCTGCAGGGCCTCGAGGTCTGTTGAAAGCTTTGCATTGCGATCCTGCTCCTCCTGCAGCTGCCTCCTGAGTGTGCGCAGCTCCTGCTGAGCTTCCACCTTGATGTCGTTGGCAACAACCACGGCCGTCTGGAGGTCAGCCTGAAAACGACGCCACTCCTCCTTTTCCTCCTGGATACATAAACATGTGGATTAGGACAGGTGGATGCATAAGCAAAGTTAATTTTTAAGGCATAAATAACAGCCCAAAAGGAAAGCATTTGGATGGAGGAATGGATGGATGAAGACAATTACAGGCTTTGTTTACACTTTGTTTAAACTCTGATAATGCTTAAATCCAGGCTGAAAATGGTTCTGTTTAACTGTGCATATGGCTATTCAATGTATTTCATCCGCACCCTTGACTTTTTATCTATCCAATTTATTTTGTTGATTCGTTTTCTTTCTTGTTTTTCTGCTTTTAAATTCTTTGTAAAGAACTTTTAATTGTCTTGTACACAAAATGTGCTAAACAAACAAACTTGCCTTGCCCTGCCCTGCCTAGTATTTAGAAATCAGGCAGACAAACCTGCTTTGAAAGTTTAATAGTATTCACAGAAAAATGCCACAAATCCAGGAGGATTATACTTATTGTACCCGATAATGTCAAAGACAGCCACCGAGTGATGCTAAGGGAATATCACAGAAAAAAAGTGCCTGCCAGAAAAGTACAAAGTTTCAAGTGTGAACATCCCAAGAGCATGTTCCATGATGCTGCCTGAACAATGCTCTCTGGAAGGAAGGCTAAAAGGTCCTTTTGGCAAATAGACAAGGAAAAAATTAGACCTGGGATATTCCAACCAAACGTTTTTGAACAACGCTTGTTTGGCAGGAGACATTTTTTGAATATCATTAAGTGTGACTCATCAATAAAACTAATGATTTGAAACACTGTGTAACCTGACTGAGAGTAAACAAAGATTTCTTACCTTTATTTGTCTGTTCAAAACCTTCAGTTGTCGCTCTGTTTCAGCTTTTTGCTCCTCAATCTTTTTGACAAGATCTGGAAAGGCAAATACAAGGCATCTGAGAGCTGCTTACTAAACTCTGAAGTCTGTATTCGCTTTAAAAATTCAGTTTTAATACAAAGTATATTTAAGAGTCTCATTGAGAAGTTAGAGAAGTCATGCTTCTTACCACTAAACCATCATGATCAGACCCATATCACCTGTCATGACTCTTAATTGCCCATCGAAATACCATCTATGCAACCACATAAAATGTGTCAATTTTAATGATAATTAATCAAAGGAAAGCGGGCTACTGCATGCACTCATTTGCATGCTTTCTCATATCATTCCTGTTTAGAAGCTATGTTACATGGAACACTTTGCTTAAACTAATGCAGTCTGTTCCAAAGGTTATGCATAAGAAGTATGAATGTAGCTTAATGATTATTGTTTTCAATTATTCTCATCCTTTCAAAATGATTGGTTAAACATTAGGAATCATTGACTTATTCATGTCCATTGAGAATAAAAGCAGGAACAGAGAAAGGAGCAGCCAGTGATGTGTACATACTCTCCATATCCAGGACAGTTTGGTTGGTATGACAATTCACAGCCCTCTGTTGCTCCACCTGGTCCTCCAGCTCGAAGATGGTTTCCTTGAGTTCCTTCACCTGGTTCTCTGCCTGGATCCCGGCTTCTTCAAGGGATGCCACTCGGTTATTGAGCTCCTGCTCCTTCTCCTCAGCCTGTTCCTGAACCTGCTGGCATTTGACCTCCAGCTGTGCATAAAAACATGTAGAAGTTTGAGGATATTTTTAGTATAAACACAAGTTAAAAACAGAAGCTCTGCTTCATGGAGTATTAACTGGTGGATGTCAGATGGCTAAACAGATGGGCTCTTAAGTGCCCCTCTGAAATTTTGTGGGGCAGTAAAACAACATCCTTTCCTCCACATAAAGAAACCAAAACAAAACACTTGTGTTGTTTACATCGGTTATTGAAGCTAAAGTTGGTGTACCTTGATCACTGCTCTTGGTGAGGACGATACTAAAACAAGCAAATGATGTATTAACTCAGGATGCTTTCCAACTGACACCATGTGGCAGCAATAAATTAGAATGTGTGTAAGTGAGGGTATGGAGAGGCCTGACCCTCACATGCATGTGGCAGAGGCTAAAGGTATGACTCAGATGTTTGCACACTGGTGAACCACCCTACAGTCGCTGTCCCACAATGACTTTACAAAGCTGTTGGGGACACACACTTCCCTTTGGAGCTCTTACCAGCACGGCTGTGTTTGCAGGGTGTTGTAGGGGAAAACCGAAGTAACAACTGAGAAACATATGAGAACAGTTCAAGTAAAAGTGAGGCGTGTGCCCTCATCTTTATTAAGCTGACCGCTCTAAGAGGTGACTCAGCTCAGAGATCTTTAAATGTGACTGTAACCTTTTGACTTGTCATTACAGAATTCTGCTGTACTGGTGATGAAACTTATTTTGGCCAAGTTAAAAGTAATGTTTTGGTTTTAGATTTGAGTGACTAATTTTATCTGCTTATTCAAACTTTACAGAATGAGATAAGGTGTACTTTATTGATCCCAGATTTGGGACATTATTGGTAAATACACATGCATTTCTATCAAAAAGAGCCTGTAAGTGGCTGTATTTATGTCTGTGATGGACATGAACATGAACAAACTGCACACACCACAGGGTAAACTGGCAATTCTCTTACCTTTGACATTGCGGTTCGCACATGTTCAGTCTCAGCCTGGGCCTGGAGCAGCTCCTGCCTCAGTTCTGTCAGCTTCACCTCCAGCTTGTCCCTCTCAGTGTGCGCTGCCTTCAACAAATTCTGTAACTCAGTGCTGTCACTGGCACTTTGCATGGCCTTCAGCTCGCCGACCTTTTGCCTCTCAATGTCCACCTGTGCCTTCAGCCTGCTGTTTTCCAGCCTGAGCAAGTCTGCCGCTGCCTTCTGTTCCTCGACAGCTTGTGAGACCTGATCTCTGCTTTCCATCTCTCTGTCCAGCTGGGCCTGCAGCTTTCCCATCTCTTCTTTGAGGCAGCACACCTGGCTCTGTGCTTCCTGGTGTTCCTCCTCCAAAGCCCGCAGGCTGCCCGTCAGCTGCTGCTGGATGTCCACCAGTTTCTCACGCTCAAAGCGAGAACTCTCCATCAGCTCGCCATACCTCTGCTCCAGCTCTGTTAGTCGAGGCCCTTGGCTTTTCAGCTCCTCCTCCCTATGAGTGTGGGCCTGGGCTTGTTCCTGAAGTCTGAGGGCAAATGTTTCATTTTTCTGCGCCAGCACTTCCAGACGTTCCCTCTGCTGCTGGAGTGAAGTCTGCAGGAGTCGCTTTTCTTGAGCCAGCCGCTCGTTCTCGGCTGTTAGCTCCTGAACAACTTGCTGCTGGTCAGCCAGCTCCTGCAGAGTTGCTTGCAGTTCTTCGGCCGTGCTGTGATGGCTCTCCTCCATCTTATGAATCTGCTCTGTGAGGCTCTGCACTGACACACTCTGACCTCCTGCATTGTTTACTGCCCCAGCTACAACAACATCTCCACTTATACTGCTGCTCCTTGACTCTGAGCATGATGGGATTTTCTCAAACTCTGAGGAGTCAGGTGATGGTGACTCCTTGGTAATGTCAGAGCTGGAGGAGACAGGGGTTTTGAGAGGGCTGGCAGCAGAGGGTTGAGGGTCCTGCTGGGTAATTAAGGAGTCTGGGGGCAGGCCGTTTACCAAAGGCTTCTCAGGTGGGCTTGTGTTTGTGCTCGATACAGGAGAAGCCTCCACGCACAGCAGCTTTTCTTTCAGTGCCTGGTTTTCTTCCCTAAGGGCTGCCAACTCTCGCTGAAATTTCCCATTCTTCTCTCTAAGCTCTCCAACCAAGACAAGGGCCTCAGCCACCTGCCCCTCCTCATAGTCAGCTGCAGGCTCGTGCTGTGAAACGGTGCTGGACGATGGCAAAGAAGGGGGAGTGGAGGGTTTATTCTTAAAGCGCTGCAACTCCGTCCTGAGATTGCTGATCTCCAAGTCTTTGGCCTTGGCTTCAGCCAGCAGCTCTTTCACCTGATTCTCCAGAAGACCCCTCTCCTGGCCCTCTGCCTCAGCACGGGACTTGGCTGAACTACGTGTCTGCTTTGCAATGGTGGAGAGGCTCGAGGTGCTCGCACTGGAAACCATTCTCTTTGCAGAGGAGCTCCTCAGCTGATCCCTCAGAGAGGAGCGATCTCTTGTTATGGCAGAGGGGATTTCTCTGGGTCCTGGGATTCCAGACTTCTTGGTTGCTTGTGCACCTGCAACAAAAAAAAAAACGTCCACGGTGTAGCAAAGCTCAAGTTATTAAACAATTAAATTAATATCTAAAAGGCATTGCATAGAGCCCTCTACCTCCTAACCCTTAAAAAGAAGTTATTATTTCATGCAAATTTTATTTCCTATTATACTAACAACAGTATAAGTGTTAACATTTAAATAGAGCACAAAAAATAAAACTGATGTTCAAAAAAAAGATTCCACTGTGGAGCAGCATGAATTGCAAACTGTGACATTGACTACCCCCCCCATCACATTTCTAACCATTGTTTAAAGAGTGAACAATCAAAAACAAAAAGTGACTATTTTTTTTTCTAAATCTAAAAGTTTAAGAAAAAGGCATAACAGTAACACACTCGTTATTATAAGACACAATCAAATTAGCTTAATTAAAATGATACTGAACGATCTGTCTTTGAGTGCAGGCCTGTTTCCAGGCGTGAATAGAACAGTCTTCACTAGCAGTGTTGTGTTTCAACAGTCTGTTTGAGCTCATGGCACAGTGTCAGTGAAAATGAAAGGCTATAAGAAGAGCCAGGATTAGCTGATATCATGTAATGACACTAATTGAACTGACTGACAGTGTGTCACACTCACACTACGGTCACTGTACCCCATTCACATATTGTTCTCTTTGGACAACAGCGCATCTGCCTGGCACTATTTGTGTGTTGCTGTCTACAGCCATTCATGGTAGCAGCAGAGCTTAACTTTGGCATTTCAAAAGGCATCAATGCGAGCCGCTGGCATGAGCCCTTTCCAGACCCCTCTCCAACATGAAGAGTATTTACTGATAACCAGCATGAGCTGGGCTCCGCCTGAAAACGTTTTATTGTCCGTTTTCAGATCATCAGCAAACAGCGCCGTGGACACAAGAGGCTTGTTTGTTTCAAAGGATGACAAAGGTCCCAGTGCACGTGAAACGCTCGGGCACAAAGCAGCTTAAGCAGGGCACACACAGAGACAGCACTGTCTCTCTCATGCATACATCATCATCAAACCCACAAAGCAGCAGTCAGACAGGACACCCTGTGTCAGGAGATAGACAGCGTTCCATCCTCATCAACATGTGTACACACTTGCAGATAAAAACCCACACACACACAAACCACAAACAAACGGTCCAGTTAGGAGTGGATATCTTATATCCCTGTGGGTAAAATAGACGCTTTGCAGCCGCAATCAATCCCCTTAACTGAGTAAACTTGCAACTGTGGCAGTAGTCTGCAACACTGGCACAATTTCTGGGATAAAAAGCTATTGAAGATTCTCCTAGCAAACAATTACTTAAAAAATCAGGAACTATGACAACACAGACTTTTAGACGTGACCGGACGATGTCAGTCCTCAGAGTTTGTTCTAATCACGTGAATGCTCATTTGGATTTGGAAACGGCTGCACAAAGGCCCAGGGAGTGCCATTAAACTTCCACAGTCACTTACGCCTGGAATTCAGAGGGGAAGAATCCATGACTGACAGAATGAGGACAGCATGTACCCCTAAATTATGTACCACCTACCGGAGGATGTTAATGCTAAATCAGCAACGTGTTATAAATGACTATTTACTGTGCACCACAGGAAACTGAGAAAGCAAGAAAACATTAACAGCTTGGGCCAATTTTATGGCCACTTTTTATGGTTAGTAATAAAAAAGGATAAATAAGTGCTCAATCCAGGGCCCAATATGATTAAGGCTGAGATTGCACTCATTTGCTGTCTATCAACACTCTTTCTTTCTTTCTTTCTTTCTTTCTTTCTTTCTTTCTTTCTTTCTTTCAGTGAGAGAAACCCAAATGGTAAATATGAGCTCACTCCCTTTAACATCACCCACTTCCATAACAGTGACATCACCACAGCTGTGTCACATGCACAAAGAAATGTCACTAGTCTAGATGCCAGGAGCCACAAACAAGACTACTCCAAAAAGGATCCAAAAGATCAGCAAGCATTCAGTTACAGAAATTTCACTGATATAAAAGGAAATATCAAAATGTAGGAAAATGTAAGAATTATAATAACCATCCTATATTAATTCATCCTTAAGATGTTTTCAACAGCTTGCTTTCAAGACTCCAATCTTGCATAAAATGAAATTAAATTTTCTCATTTTTAGAATATTTTAAAAACAACAGAAAGAGCTGAGATTTGATTCCATTTAACACAATGGGGATGGATTAAATGTGGAGGGACAGAAGGTGAGAAAGCATGACATGGTTGTGAAAGAGACAATTAACCCCCAGCTGCTTCCATGGAGCTACTTTGTAGTTACCTGTAAAAGACTCCCAAGAGAAAATGTGGTCAAGTGCCTCATGTTGTGATGATACATGTTCAACCAATTAAAATAAATAAAAAAAGAGATAAGAAAGTGAACCAACAAATTCTAATCACAGCAATCTGATGTGATGCAGTGTGTTGATGTGAATTCTTTAAAGCTATAGAATTATTTGTGGCTGTTCAAGAAATGAATATGTCACTATTACTTTGAATGTATGGTTGGTTTTTTTTTTAGGAAAAATGTTTCTAATCTAAAGAAAGGTTAGCAAAGCTTAAGCACATCAAATCTAAACCATGACTATAGTACTTAACAATTGGGTTAGTCTTGATTTAGTGCTGGCTTGATGTGGGCCGCCTCGGGTTCAGGACACTTTATAGCTACCTCTAAGAAGCACTAAATCTGTGAAAATGCCGAAATGAGGACTTAAATGGCTCACAGAGGAGTGCTTCTCCTTTAGCAAGGAATAAATCCACACAGAGTCTGAGCAGACCTGCACACTGCTACATTACTGCAATGAAACATTAGCTTTGAAGGCAAAGAAGAAAGGCTAAACCAGCGAAACAGATCACAGGCACTTCCAGTAATGTACAGTGTCCCAGCAACTTTTCCCCCATCTCCAAAACCTTTTCTGTGGTATGCATTTAACAAGACATTGCTAATACCTGCAGATGTATATAAAAAAATATTGACAATGCTAAAAAAAAAGACTCCAAAACCACACAGATGACCTCTGGAGTATATGGAGTTAGTGTGCTGCATGCCTTTGGTAAATAACCCAATGAAATATACAGGTCAACTTCCAGTAATCCGGAGGCAATTAGTTATTTTGTGGGAAGTCATCTCCTCTGTCACAGTAATGTACTGAGCTGGCTTCTTTCTGGTTAATGAAGATAAGCTTTCAAATCACAGCAGGGGCCGTGTGGCTGGACAGGGTCCAGCAGCAGCCGGATAGCTGCAGCCAGCGTGCCAGCCAGTCAAAAGGTGACAGAGTGCATTGTGAGCACAGAGTGCACAGAGACTTCAATTTACGGAGCAGGACTGGAATGGGTGAGGAGGCACGATGAATTAATGACTGCAGGTGGTCAAGTGTCACAGAGTTGGCATCAGAAATGACGCACTGGCATCGTCACAGCGGGGGGAAAAAAAGCTCTGTATGGGAATCTCTCCGTCTTCCTCGCTGGGTTCCAGGAAATGTAACGCACACTTTTTCAGGCAGGTGGGAGTGAGTGGGACAGACAGAAAACATGTCTGTGTTTCTGGCCTTCCTGTTGTCAAAGTGACAGGGCATGAAACAGGCGCCAATCAGTCAGATACTACGACTCACAGGCATTCCTTTCCTCTTACAAAGAGGAAAGGAAGATAGACGGAGCCGGGGCACCATGACTGCAGAGGTGACACAGCACAGATTAGTCCAGATGGTCAGCTGTGCGAAAAACATTCCAATGTGACACTCAAAACTATAAAACCAGGACTTTTTGGAGGATGAAATTGCTCTCTAATGGCACACTGAATGAGGTATATTGTAACAAAGAAAAAAACAACTTTGGACAGAAAAAAAGAAACATGCAAGAATGAAAACTGAAATCTCTGTCACATGTCTGGGATGCAATAGAACCATATTCAATGTAATACACAAGATAGAAAAGTACAAAACATTTTATATTAAAGATGGTAACTAGGTCAATGTCAAATATGTCCAACCGGATTGAACATTGGGAAATGTTCAGCTGGGCCCACCAGATATAGTGAACATAATCCCTCATGGAATTACTGAAAGGAGTTTTAAAAACAGAGTTTTGTAGACTGTCAAAGAGGTATCTAAAATATTTCTATTTGAATATGTGTTGCTGATGTCTGATTTAATTTTTTTAACCTTACTTAAAAAAAGAAAGAAAACAAAACAAATCTTAGATAATCAGAAATGTAGTATTTTAGTTCAACCTTTTAGAAATATTTTATAGTACAAATGACAACAATACAATAAAGGGAGCCATGAACGGAGGAGTAGCTAAAATGAAGCTAAAATTGTTTTGTTTTTTTAAAAGAGAGAGAGAGCTTGAGAGTCCACACTGCATATGGAGTCAAAGGCTAAAAGAGATATTTAATAGCACAGGTCATGACCAAACAAGAGAGACAGAGGACTTATCTTTTATCCAAGTCAATGAAGCTTCTGTTTTTGTTTTGTTTTTTTCTACATAACTGCAGGTTTATGGGATCAGAGTGTGTGATGAGAAACAGGAAGTATTGCTGAACTTCTGCTGATTCATTATATCTTTAGGACGATGTTGCAAGAAACAAATTAAGCATTTTTGTTTGTGCTGCCCACAAGAAGGAGTAGATAAAAAAAAACAATAATCTGTGGTCGGATTAGACAAAAAAAATCAAAGCAGGATTTGCAAATAGAAAAAAAAAAAAGAAAACACCATCATCCTATAATCTCAGGCTAGACTTCTGTTCTTTAACTCCTCTGCTTTTAACTGCAGTTTAGGACATGACCTATTCTTTATCATCCATTTCAGATTTGATGAATTTGATAGAAGTGGAGTTCTGAGTGGAGCTTTGAGCTCAAGTTTTAGCCAGCACTGAAGAATGGATGCAACAAGAAGCCTACGTTTCCATAAGAACACATCACACCGTCTGAAAAAGAGCTGAGGATGAAAAGAGGATGGCCTCAGGAAGCAAACGCTGCCCCTCATAATATACTTGTTTTGTTTAGTTTGGGTTTATTAAGTTTGTTTATC